AAATTAAGAATTGATGCTGCATTCTAGCAGGGTGTAAATTCTTTAGGAGAGCGAGAGGTCATTTTTATGAACTGAGCAGCATTCCTTGTAGTCTATTTGAACACCTCATCGAAGGTGATACTGAACGTATTCAATTCAGTTTCCTTACAGAACCAGCCCAGGGAGCGAAGCATGTCCTTGAGAAACGTGAAGATCCAATTTTGAGAAATCTTTGTGTCTCTGAGCCCTTTCTGTACAGCTGAAGTCCTTTTTTCTTACCCAGAGTTTTTTGAATCTTTCTTTAGGTCAAATTCATTTCCTTTGAGAAGTGTTCCAGGAAGTACCTTCCCATGTATTCATGGAGGTGCTTATCTTTATTTTTAAAATGCTCATTGCTCAATGTTAAAAACAAAAAACACCTTTGACTCCAGTGTATTTATTCCTGTGCAGAGCTGTTCACATTCAAAGCCGTCTCTCGCACTAGATGTTTCTGAATTAGGAATTCTCATAATAACGAGCCTCGCTTATTTTGGTTCTCCACAAAGGGTCGGTGTGTGAGCTTAAAATGAGACTGCGGCAGATCCGTGTAGCACATATTAACTGTTTGTTTAGTGTACGTGCACGTCTGTATCTCTCGTCTCTGATCAACCTGAAAAATTTGCATGCTGTACGGCGGCCATCTTCTTTTATACTTTATTAAATATCTGTCAATTATAAATATCAAGGTTTTACATTAATGTCAAGATAGTACATCAAAAATTCATGGAATATGTGACTTTTTCCAAGGGTATTTAATACTTAATGCATTTGTGTCATTTTTCTTTCCAGAGATATTGACAGGTTTTATTAAGTGTTTGTTAGGGAGATTTCATTTTTATCAAGGGACTATAAAGAGAAGCTGCATGCTAAATCAATTTTTTAAAGCCAGAATATCGTTCATTTTTTCATCTTCAAACACTTACAATCTGTAGGTTTTATTTAAATTTCTTCTTGGTTTATTTTTGTTTTATGTGAATGATAGTTCAAGATAGAACCTTAATAAGGATCAAATATGCTGACTGGAGTGGTTTTTAATTTCCTTAAGCATTGCCGCCAGACCTGTGCAGTATGGTAAATTCTTCAAAATGTCATACTTACGTATTTAGCAATATTGCTGCTTTTTATTGAAGCCAAACAAACAGTTTCAGATACTAATCTTTCCCAAACATCGTGATTATTTTGTGCTCGGCACAGTACTACTGTGTCTCACATGGCGGGAGGGGAAAGTGAGCTGGACTGGGTCGTCCGGCTTTGCGTAAGGGTTCCAGAACCCGCCTTCCAAAGTAGGTGCTTTGGTGCTGGAGGTCTGGTTATGAGCTGGGGCCTTGTTCATTCCCCCAGATTCGTGTATTTATTATGCTCCAGAAGGTAAGAACATCCATCAGTCACTGAAAAGTGTGCGGAAAACCGGCTCGTTTCTGAAGCCGTATTCACACGGGCCGAGGTGGGACAGTGATTGGCAGTCCCTTCCGGCCCTGTTGGTCTTCGTGTCCGGGGACTGGGTCACCGTCATCTTGTGGACAGTGGCCACAAGGGTTTTCAACATGTGGATTTTAAGAGGATGTAAACATCCAGTCTTTAAAATGTTCCGGTGTACCAGAATGCTTTCCTGTGAGGGCAGAGGAGCCCAGAAGGTTTTGAGTTCCCAGGAACAGCAGGGAGAGGAGGGATGTCAGTCCTGACGCTACCGTGTCCCCCGTTTGGGCACCCTTCCCTGTCCGGGGTGCATCTTCCGGAAACTGCAGTCCACCTAAAACCAGTTGGCCACAAAGAGTGAGTTTTCTGTTTTGATTCTTCCAGTTTGTTTCAGAGCGCAGTTAGACACGGCCCCACGGGGAAGGAGGTGATGCGCGGAGTCGGGTCAGGAGGTTCCGGGAGCGCGGCATCTCCCCTCCGTGGGAGCCTGCATGCTTTGACCTAGGAACATTGGAGCAGCTCTCTATGTAGCTTCAAATTAAGCTGCTTTTTTGCAGGAGGGTTTTTAAACCTTGGATATAGGGGAAACTCGATTAAGCTTTAAATGGGAATTGTTTGGAGCAGACCTTTGTCTTGCTCTGTTCATTTTTCCAGAGTAAGTGAAAATATTTTCAGTATTAGATACTTTTATAGACAAATCGTTTTCGATATGTGAATGTGTCAGGATGTTTATAAAATTATTATATAATAACTTCTGGGTGTAAGATAGATTTGTTTTTAAAGAAACCCAAGTTTTTCTTAAGCGAAGGTGTTGTGACGGTTCCAGGCGAGCCCAGGGTTAGAGTGAGTTGCTGCGAAGCCCGGTGCTCAGCCGTGCGCCCGCGGCTGATCTCCGTGCGGCCAGTAGGTGGCGCTGCTGCCACGGAAGCGCCAGCCCTGCAGAAATGGAAGCGCCTGCCTGCTCGCTCATGTGTCACATTTTGCTTCAGTGTAACTGTTAAGCGCATGTGTCACGGCAGAATAGCTTTTATACCAGGATTGCGCGCAGTAGGCACACGCTGGCTTTTAAGAAGATAAGAACAACTATTTCTCACACTGCAAATATTATATAACCATTGTACAGCCAAAATAATCACCAAAATCAATCTGAAAAATGCGTTTGCACAATTTTTTCTTTTTTGTTTTGTTTTAATGACTTTATTAGAACTATGAGCATGAATTTATAGATTAGGTAAGAAATTGCATATAAACAGTAAGAAGGGGACATTTTGGAGAGAGTTCATCTTTCGTCCTTTTGATTCCTGAGGTAACCTGTGTTTGAGTAGTTTTGTGGGTTCCAAGGCTATTTAAAATTATGTGTTGGAAGATTCATCCTCAGCTTTTTTTATTTTTGTTAGTTTTGAGACGGGGCCTCACTAAGTTACCCAGGCTGGCCTTGAAATTTTGATCTTCCTGCCTCAGCCTCCCCAGTGGCAGAGATTACAGGTATGCTCCACTGTGCCTGCTTCCCCAAGCTGTTTTGAGATTCAGCATTCTGGCTTTGAAAATTGTTATCTTTTCTGCTATTTAATAAGCCAAGCTTTGTGAGAGAGGATGTGAAATTTTTAGTATTTATGGGATTTAGCATCAAATTTAACCAACTTTGGAAATATCAGGGTAAATTCCATAGTTGAAGTAAATTAAAATACTTAAAAATAACAGAACAGTAGCATTTCTCTCCTCCTAGAGTTTGAAGAGTTGGGACATGTGAAATTTTTAGTAGATCAGAGAATGTGAGATTGCGTTTTATTACAGAGGAAAGGAAATTTTAGCAAGAGAATCCCTTTCTTCTACAGTTTGAAGTTGGTCTGTAGTGGTTTTGTTAGTTTGGGAGGAACGGTTATCTTCCGACCTGTACTCTTTCAGAACACTTTCGCTAGGATGTACTTGTGATACGGATGTAACGATCTTGACCCTTCTTGCTTCCCTTCCCTGGCCTCCCTGGGAAGCCTGAACAGTGTCACGGTTAGCGTTAATGAGTAGATGGAAGCCACGCTCAGGACCGGTAGAGCGCAGCCTCACGCTTCACTTGTGACAGAGGAGGAGTGCAGTGTGGTGGTCTGCGGCCTCTCCGTCCTCTCCACCGCTGGCCACGGCGTCGGTCCCCTCCCCGGAGGTGGGGTTTCCTGACCCTCCTGCGCTGGCCCGGAGCCGCCCTGCGCACCGCGCTGTGGTGACCTCCGCCGTGTTTCCTTGAGCTGCGCTTCCTTAGCACAGCGCGCATCGGAGAGCCTCTGTGGATGCCTTCTCACGTTTTGACTTTCCTTCCAAAGGGTTAAACCTGGGTAAGGAAGAGGGGAGAGGCAGGGGACCTGGACACCAGCTCCCCACTGGCAGCCTTTTGTAATATGTAATTTGCCTAAAATTGGGCACAGAGCACGAGCTTTTGTTTTCTAATTGATTTACGGTTTGAGCCACTTTTCCTCCTCCCCTCCTGCCCGTGCACGGCGCCAACGAGTACATTACAGCGCGCGGTGGTGAATGGCCGCGCAGGCCACGCGCGTGCGTCCGGAGGAGCGCGGGCAGCGCGCGGGCTCCTGCGGTTCCGTGGGGCGACCCCGCCGCGGCCAGGCCGCCTTGGTAGCTCAGAAATAACCGTTCGCTATTTGATCGCGCGCTGCAGCCTGTCCGTCAGACTGTAATTGAAACTGGAGATTAAAATTACACTGTTCCAGCTTTTAATTTCTTAATTGAGACAAAGCTTTTAAGTGCTTGAAAGGTGGGGGGTGGCATTGTGAAGAGAGAATACAAAATGTATAAAATTTTCTCCTAAGTGTGAAGTTACGGATATTTTTACCAAATGTTCTTTTGTTCAGAAAAAAAGTAGTGCAATTAAAAATATGCTGGTTTCTGTTTTCTCTGTATTTGTTGTAAAATTTCTTTAATCTCATAAAAGAACTTTTCTTGCGGAAGACACCATGCAGGAAAATACATCAATCTATAAATAAATAAATGCAAGGAAGGAAGAAAAGTAGATAAAAAATAAAAGAAATTTTCTTGATTTTTGGTGCTCAGCCCACATTTGTGGTGTGAATGATTCATGTGCACATATGCTGACTCCCCTCAGATGATTTAAGCCAGAGAGCAGTGAACAAAGTTTCAGTTTGTTAGCATGCCTGGGTCAGCTCCTCTCGCTGACCCGGGAGCCCATGAGCTTCCCGGAAGGGCCCGAGCCAGCACCCCCGCCACAGGCTCCTCCATGCGCAGACCAGACGCGTGCCGCGGGTGTGCCTGTCCCCGTGAAGCCAGTCCACCTTAAATTGTGTTCCCTACGGTGTCTGTGGGTTCTAGGATCGAAATATGAAGGAGCAGATTTATGGCGGCTGCTGGGCACAACAAATTAAGTTGACAGTGATGTATGAGAGCGTAATGGCATGATGATCCCTCGGTAGCTCGGCTGGACGTCTCCGGCTTCATTTGGCTCTTGTTAGGATCGGTTAGGCAGCTAAATAATGAAATTCTGCTGACTGATTTCTGTTTTCCCTTTTCTCTTTTCACCTCTGCTTCCCAAAACTTCTCATTCCCAGACCCATCCTCATGCCAACAAACTGCCCTTGAAGGATTCTTTCACTTACGAGGACTACAGGTTGGTATGAGGGCCGGGTATGTGCTGGGGTGGTTTCCAAGGGCAAGTGGGGTCCTGGCACTGAGGGGAGTGCTGAGCAAGTGGCCTGCTGCGACTGTGTGAAGTGTTGGAGCCGAGATGGCCCCGGAAGTCTCGGCGAGCAGCTTGGACAGCCGTCGGCGTGTTAATGCCCGTCTAGGACTTGCCGCTAGCCCTAGCGGTAGGAGATTGGTTGAGGTAGCCGAATGGTACTTGGGATTAACGTTAGTGCAGATGGACTCTTCCCCCTTTTAGTAGATTACATTACTTACTGTAAAGGAGGGATTTCTTACTGAACAGAAAGAGTTAACTTACTGCCCGATATCCTAAGAACGCTGCCTTCCACATTTCGTAGGTTCTTAGAGGGCTCCTGATCAGGGAAAAGTGTGACCATTTGCTTCTCCCGGAGGCCTAGAGTAGGTGCGAGTCAGCATTCGGGTGGAGCACGAGCTGATGGGGCCTGGCAGTCCTGGGGGCCCGCGGAAGGGGCCTGATCTGCGCTCACAGTGCTGCCGCCCTCACTCTCTGAGTCTCCGGCTCCCACCTCCTGGATTTAGTTTTGAACGACACTGGGAGAGGCGGAGCAGGAGAGGCTGAGTGTTGCTCTTGGTGTTCAGGAAGAGGCTGGAAACCCGGACACCAGCTGAGCCTAAATTTCTGGCCGCGTTACTTCTCGCTGCAGTTGGCTTCTGAGTGCACCGATTTCACTTGCTTTGTTCTGTTACAGGTGGGCGGTCTCCTCTGTTATGACTCGACAAAACCAAATTCCCACGGAGGACGGTTCCCGGGTGACCCTGGCCCTGATTCCGTTGTGGGACATGTGTAACCACACCAACGGCCTGGTAACGATCTCCCCTGGGCTAACCGGAGGCTCTGCAGAGCCTTCTCTCAGACCTGCCGCTTCCTGTGCTTTTGTCCCCTTGTCCCTTGCTCCAGAAGAGCTGTGGGTCCGCAGCAGGTCCCTCTCCCAGGTTTTCTCCTCCACTGTGCTAACCTTAGCTGAAAGCCTGGAGCTCGAGTCTCACACCACTGCGGGAGCCACGGCGAAGGGCGTGTATTTGCTCAGCCGTGTTGCAGCCTGCACGCTCGTTTGCTTATCTTGCTGTGCCCCTGGCTCAACCACAGTTCCTTTATTTCTACTCTTTCAAAAATACTGATTTACTGAAGAGCCTCCTTGTTTTCCCTTCACCATTCCTTTTCTTTTTCCCTGAGGACTCGCTTCCAGCTGTCCCTTCCCCCAGCTGCTTTCCTGTCCCGGTCCTTCCATGAGGTCCCACGGACCCTGGCCAGGCCGCTGGCGCCGGGGGAGGTGGGGAGCGGGGGGCTTCCTGTCGCTGCGGCTCTGCTGGGTGAGGGGGCGAGGGGGCGAGGCTGCTTCTCAGCACACTGTAGGTTCCAAGCCACAGTCTCGGGGCTGGGGGAGGGGCATTGTAGGATTTAAACGTTAGGTTAGCCCACTGGTTTGATGTATTCGTGCACCTTTTCTTGACACCAGCTTTCTTTGTTATTAGAGTGTTGCAGGTAGATTAAAGACATGGTGTAAAGGATTCTTCCACAACAGTTCCACGGGATGGCCAGGGCACATGTGCTGTGTGCCAAGCACTTACAGTAGGACATCCCCTGCTGACTCGGGGAGCTCTAGCGGCAAGCACTCGCGGGAACCTTGAGTATGTCAGTTGTAGCAAGGAGGAATACATTGTGCCTTAATTTAGATATGCTTAATTTAATTAGCAATACTAAGAAGTAGCAGCATGTTTTATATTTTCATTAATGAATATAATTTTACATTCTTTTTTTTTCCCCCTTCAGAGATATTTTTAACTGATCCTAAGCTTGAAATTAAAAATTTTTCAAATAGCTCTTAAAATACCTGACTGTAGTATTTTTCTTTTCCTTTTTTTGGATTAGATCATTGGTTCCCAAACTTGATTGATCACTGGAGTTTATCTTTTGCTTCTGAGATTAAGGAAGGAGAGCTTTGTTGTAAACAAGTAGAATCAGACGGCAGGGCACTCTAGGGAAAGGGAGAGCATGGCGGGACCCTTGGGGCGCTGGGCCCCTTGGTGCCTGAGGCAGCCTGGCCTGGCCGTGCTCAGAGACACCGCTTCCCGTTACCTCCTGCGAATGTGATGCAACTAGTGTACGTTTGGTTTTTTTTTTTTTTTTAGTTTATCTCAAAATAAAAATAACAGACCGCTGATGACTCTCGCCACATCTTCTTAGCGCGAGTCATGTAGTTTGCAGCCTACCATGTCCTGGCAGAAGCTGCCGCCCTTTGGAAGGGTTTCCGGGTGCCGTGCCTGGCGCAGGCCGGTGGTTTCCTCGAAGCCCTAGCTTGAGTTTTGCTGTGCTGTTTCCCACTGTCACTGTAAGACTCACGGGAGGCATTGTGTGGTGGGGTGGGAGGGATCCCGTGCCGACGCTGTGAAGCTGTGTACACACACACTAGCGGTTAATCTCTTTTTAGAAATACAGCGCTTGGAATCAGGGCTCAGCTTTTCAAGCAAGAGCCTCTCTGTCTTGTGTGTGCGTCCGCTGCCGACCTCGTCTTGTTGTCAGTCTATCCTGGCTCGCACTGAGGGAGTAGGTAGACATTGGTAACCCAGCAACGCTGTCTGCCTGGAACAGCGTTCCAGAACCTGGTTAGGAGAGCGCAGAATCCAGTCTGTGGCAGCGATTCCAGATCAGCAGCCACAAGACAAGCAGGCGCAGGCAGAGGCAGTGCACACCGGCCTGGAGTGGGAGTGCGCCGGGCTTGCCTGGCCCCCGGAGAAGCCGGCTTCGGACAGGTCGTAAGGCACCAGCCGCGCTGTAAGAGACGCAGACCTTCACATCTTGCACAAATCATCAAGCGTTAGTGTCGGCAGCCGGCACCTTCTCCGTTCAGTTTATATGAGAAGGGCAGCGGTGGGGCACAGTGTGAGCGCCACGTGTGAGGTCCAGGTGACTCACCCGGCAGGGAAAGGACGGTGCAAACACAGGCAGCACCCAGCCAGGCTCTCCTTCGGGGTCTTCCCATCTGTGAATTGAAACATGTGAAGACATTCAGCTGCCAGTCTCAAAGGCAAAGCCAGCGTTTTTATAATAGTGGACAAGAACCCCTTCATAACCTGTCCCCAGTACAGGTGCACCGCATGGGCGTGACCCTGCTGTCTCGCTGAGACACACCCACCTCCTCTGGACCACGAGGGACGCTGCTCTGTGCCCCTTTGTAAACCTGCTGTGCCACGCATCCCATAAGCCCTGCCGTTCTGGCTGGGAGGTTTGAACTCAAGGCCTTTGTACCGAGCTATGTCCCCAGCCTTTTTTATGTTTAATTTGGAGACAGGGTTTCACTGAATTTCTAAGTTACCCAGTCTGGTTTGAACTTGCCATCCTCCTGCCTCAGCCTCCTAGAACACTGGAATTACAGCAGTGCACCAATGTGGAAGCCCTTCCTTTCTGTCCGATTGTACTTCCCACTGTTTTGTCCGTATGTGGTTCTGCTCTGCTTCTCTGTGGTATGTGGTTCTGCTCTGCTTCTCTGTGGTCCGTACATCTCTGTGTCATACCTGTCTATATGGTAAACCCCGCCCTCCCGTTAGACTGGAAGGTGCACGAGGCAGGGTGTTTCCTTAGTCATACCCCAGGTCTGGGGACATTCTACGCTGGTGTTTTTTGAATGAATCCACGAGTGGTGAGCAGAGGAATATAAAGTACATATACCGATGCCTAAGAAGGAAGACCAGAAAGAAAAAGACCAAACTGATAATGAGATGGTGATCTTTTTCTTCTGTTTTTTCTATTTTCCAAATTTTATTTGATGAGCTTGTATTACCTCATTTTTTCTCTGCTACAGTGATGAAAGTAATATGATACTTACTTGGAGAAAATATAAAAAATGCAGAAAAGGAGAAAAAGTGTCCACAGCCCTCGTGCTGTTCTGTGCTAGGGAGCTCCTTCCTCCTGGGCCGTTGGGCTAAGGTCGTTAACCCGGCCTGCTGCGGGGAGAGCCAGGTGCCCACAGTGGGCTGCAGCACCTCCCCGGGTGCTTTGTGCCCACCTGCCCCCTCTGCCCACTCCAGAATTGCCAGGGAACATGACCCGCCGCACGCCCTGCCTCTCCACCCACCCGAGGACCTAATGGGGCTGTGTCTAGATGTTGAGTCCTTGCTCCCTGCTTCATTGTCCCAACGGGTGGGGACCGAGGCTTAGCTCAGGGCCTGGCCTGGAATGGGCTCTCAGCGACAAGTGTTTGTAGAACAGAGTCAGCTGGGAGCGGTGTTGAGTACCACATGGAGCTGGGTGAGGGAGGGTGGAGTGACCCAGTGTGACCGCCAGAGATACTGGAGTCAGCATCCTTGACCTGGCCCTGGCTCGGGTCTGGCCTTGCATTGGGGCACTCGTGGCCGTCATTCTGGGCTCCGGCAGAGGACTTCGGGGCGCCTTCAGGGAGAGCCCTGCCCGCCCTGCGCTGTGGTCTTAGAACGCTGGCCACGTCACCTGCTTCATCGTGAGTGGCCCCAGTCCTGCAGGTGAACAGGTTTCACCGTGAGGCTTACACACGCCTACAGCGTGCCTCGGTTGTATTGACACCCTGGTCTCCCCTCCTTCCCTGGTGGTCCGTCTTCTACTGCAGGCCACCTTACCTTTATTTTAAGTTTCCGTGTGTGAGGGAATACACGATACTTGCCTTTGCATGGCTGGTGTAGTTTACTTGATGTCCTCCGGTTCCATCCATTGTCCTGTGAGTGACACGATTTCATTCTTCTGCACGTCCAGGTAAGACTGCGCTGTGTGCGGGGCCATATTCACTCGCCCGTGCACTGCTGGGCCCCAGGTGGCCACCCATCTCAGCTGTCATGAATGTACCATGGCCAGCGGGCGTCAGGCGGCTTCCTGTGCTGCCTCCCTTCCCTCTGGTGTATGCCGAGGAGTGGGCTGAGTGCTGGGTCACGGTGTAGTTCTGCTTTAGGTTTTTAAGAACCCCTTGCCTTCCACAGAGGCTGCGCTCAGTTCCTGCCACCATGTGTGGGGCTTTCTTGAGATGGGTTTTTGATAGCACCCTAGAGTAAGTGTTCGGCAGTGCCACACAGAAATTCCACATGCAGCCTGGGGCCTCTGTGAGCCCTGCTGCACAGCTGAGGGCCTGGCGCATGTGTGGAAGTCTGTGGACCCGATCTGCGTCAGGCCTGGGCATTACTGCTGCCTCTGGGAAGGGCACGCGTGGGTAGAGCACCCTTCAGCCCCGTCCTCTGTCCCCAGCACACCGTGGACTGTGCACCCTTCCTGTGCCCTCGCCCTGCTGCCCCTCGCTCCTGCCCTGCCGCCAGGTACTAGTGTTGAGGGCTGAGCAAGGAGTGCCCAACTCTCCCTGCTGGCAGCTCGTGAGAGAGGGCAGCCCCTCATCCCGCAGTGCTTGCTGTCCGGATGGTACCTTCGGGTCCAGACGCTGACCCTGACTGTGGGCAGAAGCTTCAAGGCGCTGATTTTAATCTCATTCAAGCGCTGAACGTGCTCTGTGAGTGGAACTGTTCCACAGTGCTTGGCTTCCTCTCTCTTGCTTTTGTGTTTCTCACTGGTCTTTGTGGATCAGAAGCGTGAAGGGCATCTAGACATAGGCTTTATAAACTGCCACTTCAGGCAGGTCGGGTTTGAAGGTGTCAGCGGCCTTCCGTCCTGCTGCTGTGGAGTGGCTGCAAGTCGATGCCTTTATTAGCAGGCAGCACCTGCCTTGTCTGGAGTCCTTGATTCCCCCGGATGAAGTGAGCGGGTCCAGTAGGAACCAGGACTTAGAGGGTCTAGGAAGCTGCCTGTTCTTTCCCCTGGGGGTGTTCATGCCTCAAGTAAATCTTAGATGTCAGGTGTTAGGTGCTGTGTGCCAGGCGCTGGGGACGCTGATGACCCGGGAGCTCCCTGCCGGAGGGGCGTGGCGGGTATACAGACTCGTGGTGGCCGGAGTGCAGGGAGGACAGATCCTGGGAGGGCAGAGGAGCTGCGATGGGGGGCTGCTGTGACGGAGCTCGGTCTCTCTGGGTCCTGAGCAGAGCAGTAGGAGAAGGGAGCTCCAGGTGGGAGTGCACAGAGGGCAGCCAGGGCCTGGCGGGAGCTGTGCGTGTGGAGGCCGCGCGAGGTGTGGGCCTCCTGGAATTGGCCTCCCTTGGGAGGCTGGCCGTTGTTCTGGAGGCAGGAGGGCGATAGGGCGTGGTTAGCGGGAGGACAGCAGCACTAGACTCTGAGGCCAGTTGGAAGGGCTTCTGCAAACACTAAGGTGGGCAGGAAAGAGTGAGGACCAGGAAGGAGGAGGAGAGAAGGCGGTGCAGTATCTTCATGGTGACCTTGGAGCTGAGACCTTGGCATTTCTGGCCAGCGCTGAAATGGGACTGTGGGGGAGTCACAGATTTCGGGGGCAGCTAGAGGATGTTCTGTGCTGTGATGGCCTTGGAAACACTCAGCAGAAAAAGGAGTAAGGAAGAACGGCTTTTGTTTGTTTTGTGGTGCCGGGGATGGAACCCAGGGCTTTGTGCATGCTGGGCCAGCGCTCTGCCGCTGACCCACCCGGCTGCGGCTGTGTTAGTGTATCTGTTCTTCCTACCCAAATGCTGTACATTTTCCAGTTACAGAGTAATACATTTAATTCAGAAAGAGAGCTTTTCTTGGCCTCTGATCCTTTGTCCAGTGGAAACCCCACTTCCATTCCTTAACGGTGAAACACTTGCCTGTGAACCGGAGTGTGCCAGAGGCCTTCCTCTCCCAGATGACCGTGAATGGGTGTGAGGCCTGGTGTAGGCGTCTGGCGTCGCCCGCTGCTGCCGGGGCTGAGAGGCGGTGACGGAACAGGAGAGTATGCCTGGTTGAGAACAATGAGTGGAGGCCAGTAGGAGACTGTACCTCTCCCAAGAGTGCTTCCTTTGCATCAGGGTGTCACTCTGCAGGAGAGGCTGGTGTGCTGGAGCGCGCTCTGTGCTTGGTGCAGCAGGAAGGCGTTCGCGGGCACCCTTTCAAGGGCCTCTGGGCAGCTTTTACCCTCTCTGCCAAAACAAACCCCGGACCCTCAGCGTTGTCTTGTCCTTTCTCTGTGGCCAGATCACAACCGGTTACAACCTGGAGGATGACCGCTGCGAGTGTGTGGCTCTGCAGGACTTCCGGGCCGGAGAGCAGGTGGGTGTCACGCAGCGGCCCACGGGGTGTAGCCGGCCTTGGCGCAGGGGTGTGTGGTTGCTGTGCAGGGCACTCAGCTTAGGAGGAAGGCTGGTCTTCAGGACTGTTTTCCGAGTACACCTTGAGACCTGAAGCTGTAGTAAATATAGTGTGCTTTGGTGCACAAAGAAAGAAGGTTTAATGCAGTTATTTCACAGTTGACCTAATATCTCTTTAACAGTGTTAACTGAAAATTAAATTTATCTTACGACACCAAAGTGAATTATTTCCTAGCCTGCACTGCTTTTATTTCTTCATTTGTTGATTCTTCATAAGGAGGCAGTATTTAAGAAGCAGTGTTTTTTTTTTTTTTTTCTCTGGTACCGGGAACCAAACTCACGACCTTGCGCTTGCCAGGCAGGCGCTTTGCCGCTGAGCTAAATCCCCAGCCCCAAGAAGCAGTGTTTAAGTGGCACATATATAAGGAAGTCTTACAGCTTCACTTTAATCTGCATCTAAGAATTTGGGTGAGCACAAGAATAAGCTTTTTAGTGAATTTGAAAATCCACATCTCTAAGTCCCCGCATTAGCATCAGGGTATCCCAAAGAAGCCAAATGAAAACTTAGTTTAGCAAAGTGTCAACCTGCTCTTTCTTCAGAGCGGTCCGCAGACCTCCCGCTAGGTGCAGACTTGCCCAGGACATGGGATTGGGTTTCCAATAGGTGCTGCTTTGAAGTCCTGTTGCAGAAGGAGCTCCCGTACTGAAAGGAGAGTGCATCCCAAGCGCAGGCCCCAAGGAGTAACCAGGCTGTTCCTGGCAACGAGAGGGTGGTGGGAGAAGCCCGGGGACCACCGGGGCCAGGATCCCTTGTTCGCTAGCGAGGCCTTGGGTCAGTGCCCCCACGGCCCCCACGGCCGCCTCTGCCCGCCTGGCCCGCCCCGTCTGAGTTTGAGAAGGTGGGGAAGGCGCTTCACACACCATGCTGTGCGCACAGTCCCGGCAGGGGTTGGGCTCGTCAGAGCCGCGCGTCTTGCTGGTGTACAGCGCATTGCCCGGTGCGAGCTGAATGCGGCCCTGCTCTGCGTCAGGGTGCACACTGAGTCTGTCTGTATTCTCTCCGCTGCATCTCAGATTTACATTTTTTATGGCACCCGGTCAAATGCAGAGTTTGTGATCCACAGTGGTTTCTTCTTTGACAACAATTCGCACGACAGAGTGAAAATAAAGCTTGGTGTGAGTAAGAGTGACCGGCTGTACGCCATGAAGGCCGAGGTCCTGGCCCGCGCTGGCATCCCGACGTACGTACGGCCGGCTCTGTCCTGCGCTTCTCCCCGTCCCTCTTGCGCAGTGTCTCCCTGGCGTGTTCCTGAACTCCCCCACCGTGGGTTGGCTCGGTCCCTTCGTGCCTGTCCCACTGCAGCTTTAGACCGTGGAGCTGCTGGGGGACTGAGGGTTGCGGGGGGACCCTGTCCTGTCGTGGGAGCTCTGCCCTCCGTTCCCGGGGCGGGGCCTGCGGTCCTCGTTAAGTTAAATAAGTGCTTTGGTATCATTAATGTCTTTCACCTTGAAAAGGTTAATGACCTGGATCAATTTGTTTCATTTAATTATTTACCTCCATTAGTTTCTGTAATGAAGTCATGATCCGCAATAATTTCAAGAATTTCTGGCTAAATTCCTTAAGATTTTCTTGCAGTTGAGAAGTAAAATGATAAAGAAGACAAGAATTATGATTTATCAGTCCTCCTGGGAACAGAGGAACCATTCTTAATGAAAATGGATTATCCAGGCCTTTTTTTTAAATTGAACTTGTCAATATTTGATTAATGATTAAAGTGTGAACTTATCATAGATGATTATTAACATTTTTTAAGAACCGTGGACAAGTTTAATTCTCTTAATGTAAGGATGCGCCCCAAGACGAGGCCATCCGGGAATGGTGCTGGCAGAGGTGGCCTGCGCCGGATGTGGCGTCCATCCGAGCCCACCCATCCCGCTGTCCGTGAAACGACCGCGCGGCCACGGCAGGACGGCTGACTTTCTCCTTGCTCTCGGCAGGTCCAGTGTTTTTGCGCTGCATTTTACGGAGCCGCCCATCTCTGCTCAGCTTCTGGCTTTTCTCCGAGTATTCTGCATGACTGAAGGTAAATCACTTCAGGAAAAAAAAAAGGTGTTGGTTTTCTTCTTTAATTCATGAAAATGTAAAGCATAAAGATTCAGATTAAAGATAAAATGGCTTTAAAACTAAAGCACCTTTGGGAAGAAGGGAGATAGCAATATTGGGGCAAGAAAACCTTGATCCATTTTGCCCTAGAAACGCCGCCTGCCTGGCATCCCTCAGAGTAAGCGGCGCTGCAGCCGGGCCCCGTGTGGGATGTGGGGTTCTCAGCTGCAGCCTCTTACTTCAGTCCCAGAAAGAGTTACGTAGCTACTAAGTGTCTGCTTTTCTGCGTGTTTGAGACAAGTCACTTGGGATTTTGTATGGCCTGGTGAGGGTGTGCTTTTATTTTCCCCCTGGTTCATTTGTAATTGTGCGTGTGTGTTCATCGTGGTAGACAACCTCGAGTCCTACGCAGGACAGAGTGGGTGGGAAGGCGTGAAGGCGGGCGGGGATGGTGACGGCTGAACAGGCAGAGAGTGCCCTGCGGGAGCTGTGCGCATCAGGGGAGTCTGGGCGTGGGCGCTGGGAGCACTGGGGCTGGGCTCTAGCTGCATGGCCTTGGCCCAGGGACCCGTCCCGGCTGAACCAGAGTTTCTCTGTTGCTGAAAGGGGAACACTTAACTCACAAGGCTAAGATGAACATAATGTACCACATTTAGCATCGTGCCCGGCACTAAGTGCTCCACAAATTACAGGAATTATCATCGCCATCGTCTCTCTTAATTACACATTCCTTGAGAATATGAACTGTGACATTCAACTCTGCATTCCTGTATTATGCAAGAAAAGCCCACAGGTAACCTCAACCTGTGGTTCACTGAGCTGAATGCTGAACCTCAACGAAGTACAGCCAAAGCCCCGCCTGAATGCCAGCAATTCGGTGGCTCTAGCAGGACGCTTCTGCTCTCCTCCAGCCGCCCTGTAGTTGGTGTTTAAACTGCTTCCCATGTTGTGGGACTAAGTTTCTTCTCCCTCCAGCCTGATGTCAAGCTCTGGACTTGTGCAGCCTTCCCCAAGCCCCAAACATGAAGCCAGGGCGGAGACACCAGGGTACAGCCACCTCAGACGGCCCCAACCAGGACTGCCCTCTCCTGATGTGCACAGCTCCCGCAGGGCACTCTCTGCCTTTTTTGAACGTTAGATAATTTCCATTTTCTTTAAAAACAAAAACAAAAACAAAAACAAACCAGCGTGAATTGCTTCAGGTCTGCTGCCTCTCCAGTTTCTCTTTAGCTGGAGAAGGCAGTGTGTCCTGTCAGGGCAGCTGGTGCTCCTTTGAATTACTCCACCTAATACCAACTTCCATTAGTTTGGTTTGCTGGCAGCCGCAGACCCCAATTTGAATTGTATTTGTTTTGGTTTTGTTTTTTTTTTTTGTCTTTTTGAGACAGGGTCTTGCCGTACAGTTCAGGCCGGCCATGAGCTCACTTTGTAGCCCAGGCTGGTCTCAAACTCGCAACCATCCTCCTGCCTCAGCCTCCCGAGTGCTGGGATTACAGGCGTGCGCCACCATGCCCGGCTCATGAATTGTAAATAGTGCCAGCTGTGGGACATTTTGCTCTGGGTGCCAGAGCCCTGGTAGTCGGAGAGGCTGGCATTTCTGCGGGGCATGGACCGTGTGCTGGGCACGCGTGGTTGTTTGGAGCTGATGTCCAGGGAGGAAATGGTCAGGGCTGGAGCTGGGTCTCCTTTTCTGAAGTATACCTGATGGTAACTCAGATGTAAACTTGCGTTTATTTGTAGTTCCTACTTAAGTCCCTGATAAGTGAGAGAGACAGGCCCGTTTTTTCCTTAACTAAGATTGTTCTAGTCTCTTTTCTTGTTTTTCATTTTTTGATCTGTGGTGTACTTGTAAGATGAGCTAAAGAATGAGGAATGTGCTTTAAACTGCAAGAGATCTCTGGAAGTTGTGATGCGTGCATTTCCGGTGCTTGGATTGCTCCTGACTTCCTGACCCAGGTGGCAGGCCGAGCCCCAGGCTGGGGAAGGGCCCCTCCAGCGCACGTGCGGTGTGCACGGCCACAGGCTGTCCTCAGAGGCTGTGAGCTGTGCGAGACTGTCCATAGGTTCTTGGTGTCCCTCACAAACAGAGACAGCTGGAGGGCCGTACCCAGGCTGGACGGGACTCCGTGTCCCCACGCAGAGCTCAGCCCTGACTGCCTCGGAGAGGCCTGCAGTGGCCCGGCTGACGGCCAGGGCAGCCTCAGCCCTGGGACCACGGTGCTGGGAAAGACATTGCTACAGTGAGTTGCTGTGGAAGTGCGAGGCAGTGCAGCCCTTGCCTGCTAACACCCTGCTGTGTGCGTTCCTTGTAGAGGAGTTGAAAGAACATTTGCTGGGAGAGAACGCTATCGACAGAATCTTCACGCTGGGTAACTCGGAGTTTCCGGTCAGCTGGGAAAATGAGGTCAAACTTTGGTCATTTCTTGAAGATCGAGCTTCTCTTCTTCTAAAAACATATAAAACAACAATTGAGGTAATTAGATTGACACATGTGGATTTGTGCTTTCCCAGGTTTTTAAAAAAATCCCTGGGGGCTGGGGACTTAGCTCAGCGGCGCAGCGCCTGCCTGGCAAGTGCGAGGTCGTGAGTTTGGTTCCCAGTGCTGGGCGGGTGGGGGATTCCTTCCTAAATGTAAATTGCTTAGATTATTTAGCAAAATAATTATATATTCGATATTTTAATTCAAAATTGGTATTTTCCCATTTAATATGCTTATATTTACTCCCCAGAATCATAATTGAGACGTTGTTGATTAGACGGTAAAACTTTCAAACTATTTAATACGCTTTTAATTTCTAGTTCATACGATCCTACAGTTTTCGTTTGTGCTGCAGATCTCACCGCTGGAGCCTCTGACTTCAGACCCCTTTCTCCTTCTTCCCTCCTTCCTTCCTTTCTCTCCTCCCTCTCCTCCGTCCTCTCCTCCGTCCTCTCCTCC